GTCGCGCGCCGCGTTCTGGCGGAACGAGGCCGCCCGCTTGGCCGCCATGAGGCGCCGCCGCGCTTCCTGGCGCTGTCTGTCGGGCAGGTCCAGGGACTTCTCTCTCGTAATGGGAAACTTCCCCTTGGGGGGCTTCTTTGGTATTGGAGGGGGAACCTTCCTTTCTTCCTGAAAAGCATCACAAGCATCATACCATGTGGGAGCGTCCGAGGAGACGCCACCAGTGGGGAATGGGCACCCCCTGCCTGCGACCTCGGGCCCCGCCCCACACCCATCAGACCCGCCCCCGCCCCATCAGGCCACGCCCCTCCGGCCCTACACCCATCAGACCCGCCCTCCCTCGACTCCGCCCTCTGCCCTCGCCCCGCCCCATCAGACTCCACCCTCCTCCCTCGCCCCGCCCCATCAGACTCTGTTCCCGCCCCCGCCCCCAAGGCAGCTGCAGCTCCTCATGCTGTGCACATTTGCAGCGTCCTAGGGGTGCTCCGGGTGGGGGTGCAGCCCGGCAGAGTGTCTACAAACCAAGGCTGCAGTCTGCACGTGGGCCTGAAACGTCATCGTCACATGGACACTGACCTCGTCACCTCTGAGCCACACCCACAGTTTCAAGCTCTCCAGCATTCCAAGTATTTTGGAAGATGTCACTGGACTTCCCTGTCATATGCCACCATCTTTTCAACAGACTCCGGATTCTAAGGAGTTCACGAGAACCAGCTCTCGTGGGTGTCCCGGGAACCATCAGCCAAACTCTTTATCACGTGCCTGAGCCCTCGAAATTAACTACACGGAACACCTGAAGCTCGCCGGGCAAAAGGCCACCCTTCGCCCCGTTCTCCAGTCCCCGAGATGCAGGTGTGCTCCTCACACGACACAGCCACAGTGCTGTGGCGTGTAAGGCCTGCAGCCGTGTGGGGAGGGCCTGCGTTCCTCTGTGAAGCGCCCCGACGTCACTCCTAGGTGACAGCGGCGGGCTGACCCGTCCTCCTCCTGGGGGCTGGTGGTGGGCCACATAGCAACTGCCCCTGGGATGCTGCAAGGGGAGCCAGGCGCCGGCCCCTCCTCCCCGTGTCTGCTTACTGGGGAGACGCGCGCCTGCCTCTCTTCCCTCAGTCCCTTCGAACTCCGCAGGGGGCTGGGTGAGTGCGGGTGCAGGGGGCCAACAGTGCTGCTGGGCAAACAGGGCGGCACCGTGGGGGGCCGCGTGCCGTGTGACCGGCTTGGGGCAGGAAGACGGTCTTCTTGAAGTGTCCCCGTGCCTGAATGGTAAATGGGCCGGGCCAGCGTGGCGAGGCCTTGGGCTCCTCAGCATGAGCCACAGCAGTGGGGTTACAAGCCCTAAACCTGGAAGCTGCGTCCACGGCTGGCTCCTGCACCAAGCATGCCTGCCTTGACCCACCCTGTCCTCTCTCTGAACTACGGGGCTGTAGAGAGTACATGCTCACAAGTGTCTCCCCGTAAGGAGCTCAGGGCCCCTGGGCATGACCGGGTGGCCCCGCAGACCCACGGAGCAGAGGGTCGGAGGACGTGGCACAGAGAACCCTCACTTTCTGACGGGCACTGTGTCCTTGCAGAAACCCATCTCCTCATGGGCACCGCTCCCCATGCCAAGCTCTGGCAGGAAGGGCCACCTCGGCTGTCACTGGCAGACGGACGAGGCCTGGGAAGGGCCCTGCACGTCCTCAGATGTGTCGGCAGGCTCTGTTTCAGTGTCTTGCTAGAGTAACTTTTTCACATGGTCATTACTTGCAATGTCCCTCACTTCCGAAGCACACCACCGGCCACCTGCACGCCCCACGTCCACTTGGGCTGATGCCCCACCTGCGAGTTTGCATGCCCTGCCTGTCACCTGTGGCTGAGAGGGGAGGGGTCAGTCTCTGCGGGACCCTGTGCATCTAGCCCAGGATGCCACCAGGACAGTCGGTGCCACCTTCTGGGGCAGAGGAGGTGGCCATGATGACAACTTTCGCTCTGATTACCTAGAAATCGCCCTCAGCTACATATTAGACACAACTGGCCCCAAGGAGAGCGAGATTCGTCTCCTTCGTTTTGTTGTTTTAATTGAAAATGTCTGTCCAGAGAAATCGGATGCATCAGGAGAGCTACGGTCACACCGACCTGCGGCTCTAATGGTGACGTCTTTGGGGAAGAAGCGACGGCACAGGGTCACAGTTAATGGGGAACTTCAGCCTATTTTAAGGGACGAGGCTGATGGACAGGAAGTTTATGCCATCAAACTGTTCGAAAAAATTCAAAACATCTGTCTTCAACCCCAGCCACGTAACCAGGAAGTGTATCTGAACTGAAGATGGTCACTGTGATCCTGCGGGAAGTCACCCTAGTCAGACCCAAAGAAAACGTGACAAAAGTAACTCGGGAAGGAGCCGTAGGAGAGAGGAGACTGACATGTGCTTGTCGGTCAGTGTCTCCTCTGGGACGGTGGTGCTTGCTATGCACGGCCCGTGACGTGGATTCCACCCCGGTTCACACACACTTGCACCCACATGCACAAACACATGCAAACACATGTACACGTGCAGACACAGAGATGCGCACATGCACACAGCACACGCAAGCAGATGCACACAAACACATGCACACCCATGCAGGTGCACATGTACACGTGTGCACAAGTACACAGGCACACACAGGCACTCATGCGCATACACGTACACAATGCAGACACACACAGATGCATGCACACGTGTACGCATGCGCATACCAGCACAGTGCACACATGTGCATGCAGCACTCACACATGAGCACACCCACGTGCACTCATGCAGGCACGCGTGGACACACTCAGACCCTGGACACACACACATTTGTCTCCCTCGCTGCTACCCAGAGCCCGGCGCGCGTTCCCGCGGCAGCTGTGCGGCCGGCCGCTCGCCTCCGCCTGGACGGCACAGGGGCCTCTGGGGCCGCCTTCGGGGGGTCAGTACCTCTCTCTCTGGAGACTCGAGCGCCTTCCAGCCGTTCTGCTTCAGCTGGTGCAGCTCGCTGAACTTCATGCTGACATCCTCCACGGACAGCTGCAGCATGTCCCAGTACCCGGCCAGGTCCTGCGACGTCGGTCTGGGCATGGCGCTGGGGTCCTGAGGACACACGCAGAGTTTGCGGCCAGGAAGCTGGCAGCTGGCAGGGGCTGGGGGCGGCGGCCCCTCCCCCACGTGCCCCTCAGGGAGTGCGGGGATGGGCAACCCAAGTGCAAGCACTCGGCCAGGCCGCCGTGGCCCACGGCTCACGCGGCTCCCCGCTGGCAGCTAACCACGTGTGGGGGGCAGCTCTGTGATGGTCTGGAGAAGGGGGAGCTGCGGGGACAAGGAAAGGATCGGGTGGGGACGGAGGGACGAGTAATGGGGCACAGAGGGTGTTTAGGGCAGTGACACTCCTCTGTGTGATCCTGTTACGGTGAACACGTGTCGTACGTACGACACCAGGAGTGACCCCGATGTGACCTGTGGACGCGGTGACAGTGACGGCTAGTGCGGGTGTGTCGGCTGTGGCAGCTGGCGGGTGTCGATGGTCGGGGTGCCGTGGGGGGCATGGGGCGCACAGGAACTGTGCACCTTCCTCTCAGTTTTGCTCTGACCTAAAACCGCTCCGAAATAGGAAGTCACAGCGAATCGACTGGCAGTGGCCGCACACGCATCACGCCGCGGGGCTCTCTGAGGGCCCGGCCAGGACGGCCGGCGTTCGCGCCGCTGCGTGCCTGCCCGTTCGCAGGAGCTGTGGGCTCTGTGGTTCGGGGCAGAGGCTAGTTCCGGATGGGGCTACGCGGGCCAGTGGCCAGCGTGGGCTCGGAGCCAGCTGCCTCTCTGCTCCGACTCTGACGGTGAGCGACACCTCGATGCTCCGGGCATTGGGCCTGCTCCACGAGAGGGAGGACAGGCAGCCGGGCCTCAGGAAGGGGCAGGTTTCCTGCGTGGAGCAGGGACGGGCGACGGCATGGACTGGGAGCCCGTGGTCTGAACGTGGCCTGAGGACGTGCGCACTTTTCCACCCAGGGCGGACGGGCCCAGCGAGCTGTCTGCACTTAACATCAGTGACTCCACCAGAGGGCTGGCCGCTGGCGCTATGCCACACTGCCCGGCCGAGGGCCACAGCCAGCGGGCCCCTCTGTGGCACCGCGGCCCACGTGCTCTGGCGGGTGACTCCGCAACCCCAGGCTCACGCCGGCGGTTCTCCGCGCGTGGTCCTGGCTCACGGGCCTCCCTGAGATTGAAGTCGGAGGCGTCTGGCAGGTAAACGTCTATCTGAATTTGTCTAAAACTTTAAGGCAATTTTCAGCTGACTCATAGTCGGTCACAGTGAGCACGACGCGACCTTCATTTCAGTCTTGTTCAAATGTCCTTCAACCGGTCTTGGTGCTTCGGGCAGCTGTGACCCCGCATTGCAGACGGGGCTGAAACAGCACCCATGTCACTCACCGAGTGCGGCTGCAGCCGGGGACAAGGCGCTGGCCGACTGTGTGCCGAGGGCTCGCTTCCGCCTTCTCCCATGTTCCACGTGGCAGACGGCTCTTTGGGGTCCCTCCCCAGGACAGCGGCCCGGCCATGAAGGCCCCACCCAGGGCCCACCTCCCGATCCACCGCTCTGGGGTCGGGACTGCAGCGTGTGGACTTGGGGGGGCCCAGGTTCTAGCACCCGGTTGGGCATCCATGTCACAGTGATCGCGTTGTGACCCCGATCCCTTCAGACAGCAGCCTGCACAGTGACGGGGGGCAGGGCCCGGACATCGCCCCGTCCATGCCCACAGCAGGGGCAGCCTCGGGGGTCTGGTGAACCGCGAGAGGGCAGGCCCCCGGGCGGCGGGCTGGAGAAACGCAGAGCAGCCCCGCTGCTGGGCCGGGCGGGGTGACGGGGTGACGGGATGGGGGGGTGACAGGGTGACCCAGTGACAGGGGACGGGACGGACAGTGTAGCACCCCGTCCATGGAAGCCTCACGCCAGAGCGTCCGAGGGCGCGTGCCGCCCCGTCCCTAGGCGACGTCGCAGGTCGCAGGACGGTCCTCTTTGCAGGACTGGGGGGAACAGTGTCACGCTGCTCCTGCCGAAGCCCAGAGGCCGGGGCCAGCTCTGGCGCGGACCCGGCGCTGTGTCCACGCGCACGCCCACCCCGGCGGCCTGTCTGCACTTGCCGTGCCCCAAGGGGACAAAGCGGCTGTCCTTGGCGCTCCCCAGAAGCAGAGGCTGTGCCGTGTCGCATGGTCAGGCACAGCGGGACTGGCTCTGTGCCCCTCTTTTGGAGGGGTGCGGTGCACCCCTCACCCATGAGACGTCTGACACACCGATACGTTTACAGGTCGTTCGTAGAGGTCAGCGGTGTGCCAGGCCACTCCTGCCCCGGCACGGCCCGGCCCAGCCACATGTCCTGGAGACAGCACAGTCGTGTGGGGACACAGACCCTGGTGCCCGGGCTCCACAGCATTCCGCACTGTGCCGAGGAGCTGGGAGATCCCGCTGGGCACACTCGGGACGCGGGGCCTGACCAGACACAGACTCAGACCCAGAGGCCTGAACAACTCCCCGAGCTGCCGGCTCGTGGGGGCGAGGACACTGCTCTGAGGGGCGTGGCCAAGGGCAGACCCTGACAGTGCCGCCTGCACACGGGGCGCACACGCGACGAGCCACCCGCTCGTCCCCGCCTCGCATGCCTGCTCCCCCCTAAACATCCTGCTATAGGCCCAGAGCTGCCACCAGCCACCCAGCCCCCGGCGCCGTGGCGGCCGGCTTCCAAGCAGGCAGCTGTGCTTTCGGCCCCTCTCCTGCTGCCACGTGCCCCACCCCAATGGGGCTTCAGGCTTCTTCTGTCTGGTCCTAGACTGAAGCCAAAAGAAATGGCAGCAATCACACCAGATACTTCAAAACTCAAAAAGAGTCCTTTAAGGTGAACGTCAAACGCGATCTGCCACGTGTGAGGCATCAAAAATATTAGGATGGATGGTTCTGAGTCTAACGCGCGGCTCTGGAGGAGGGGACACGGACGCTTTATAAGCCAGGGCGCTGTGTCTTTGCTCCGTGTGGGTGCTTAAGACAACGAATTCCCACAGACGGCGAGTGCCCACGCTCGGCCGACTCGGGGTGACGGGCTCACAGCTCTCCAGCAGGAAACCGACCTCCTTAAAGGCGGTGAGGAACGGGACACGAGAGGAGGCAGGCGCCGGCTGGACGTGGGACTTGCGTTTCCTTCAGGGCCCTTCCCTCCCTGTCTCCCTTCTAAGCGCCCACGTGTGACCATGTCACAGGCAGTAGGGTGGGCACCCTTTAAATTCACGGCGAACAATATGGGGTTAATTGGAAGATATCAGTGAAAACATACTTTTAAAACCCGTCCTAATTAAAAGGGATGAACTGGCAACTCTGGTGTGCTATGTTCCCTTTGATATGTAAACATTTTATAAATTCACTGCCTCCTTGTGAATTTAAACCAAACAGAACGAGATCACCCAGCACTGCCACGGCGGGATGGCCCACAGAGACATGCGCATTTGAATGAAAACGTCTGGTCTCAGAGAAACCAGCATATGGACTATGAAATAGCCTACAAAGTAACGTGAACGTTGTTTAGTTATTTCTCCAAATATTAAGGGAACACTTTCTTAAGTCAGATGAGGACGTGGCTACCCGTACCCATGCACCCATACGTGTATTTATACAGAGACACGTAGCACGTAAGTTCACACGTATGCGAGTATATGTAACACGTAAGTTAACACGTTTATGTAAATATAGATGTTTTTCATTCCGTCTGATTTTCAGGAAGATCAGAATGAAGTTTAACGGCAATTGTATTAACTAACCTAGTTCATGGTACGTTCATTTCACTCCAGATTATAAAATATAAAACCACAATTATCTCTAAAATCCCTCCTTAATCTCTCTAAACGTAGCCGTTTATGAGTTTTTGTTCAAGCCACTCTGTATCATCTTTACGTGTGAGGTTCGCGGTGAGAGCAGTTCGCTGTCGTCTCCCGTGCTCAGGTGCTCGGCCACGAGGCGGTCTGCACAGGCAGCGCCCTGTGCCCTCGGGGGACACTGCCGCCTCCCGCCAGCTCCCGCCCCTGCTCCACCCCCAGCCCCGTGCTGCAGCCTCCAGGCCTCGGCCGCATGTCTCAACCGTCCCCGGAGCTGGGCCGTGTCTTCAAGCATCGCAGACGCACGAGGCCTCTTTAACCAACAGGGAGGCGGTGGAAACACGGGGCCCGGCGTGCGAGGACGCGCTTACCGTGTTCTGCTGGCAGAGCCAGTAGAATTGCTGGAACTTCTGCGACATCAGCAGCTGGGCGCTGCCCACGGCACTCCTGATCTTGCCGAGAACTGCAAGAGCAAACGCGGACACACGGGTCAGTTAAGCAGAAGCGAGCGCGTTACGCGGGGCGGGGTGTGTGTGTGAGTGCATGTGCGAGCGTGCATGTGCATGCGTGTGCGTGCGTGTCAACCCTGAAACGCGCACACCACCCTCCCCCCTTCCTGGAGACTAAGCTCTGAACGCGCTGCCTGGGGCTTGTCCCCGGCTGGTGTTTTTCAACCTGCTCCATTCTCGATTCGAAGAGGCCAAGTGTCGACCACGAGGACACGAGAGGCCGGGCACACCTCTGAGTCCCTCCGAGCGTCCCGTCCCCCTGCCCCGTCCCCCGGCTCTCACGCCGTCCTTAGCCTGGTGTGGCACCGTCATCATTTTGGAAAGGCCGGCTTTGGCCGGTCACAATACACGGGACTCCCCAGAGCCTGCTGGGTGCCCGTGTCGCCTCTGCATGCTGGGCGGCGCCTGTGGTCAGTGCCCTGTGCCTGGGCGCTTACTCCCTGGAGTCCGCACAGCAACGCCCTGACGCAGGCGGGCGGCCCACCCCAGCCTCTGCCGTGTGGCCTCGGGCCCCCTGCAGAGCACTGTGAGGACCAGCTGCTCTGGGCCCGGTCCGGCCCCCTCTCTCAGCAGTCGCGTGCGGGGTGGGGGCCAGGTGGTCGTGGGGAAGGACAGGGGCTCGGTGTCAGGGGCAGAGGCAGAGAAGCAACGCCGGACGCGAAGCTCACCCTCTCCCGGGTCTGTATCCTGCAGACGGGGCACCGGGCCCTCGAGGCTTCGTCTGCAGAAGACAGCAGTGCTCAGGGACCCATCTGAGGCCCGAGTCCCCAGGGGTCTTGCTCGGAGGCCGATGCTGACCGGGGCCCGGCTCTCACGTGCTCCGGGCACGTGTGCCAGCCCAAGGCTCGCCCATCAGTGCCGCAGACACCGCCTCACAGGCCGAGGGGGTGCCCCAACCCCCACGTCCCAAAACCTGACAGACAATCTCCAAACCAACGATCTGTGAGACCCGGCCAACACGCGTCAGAACCTGGCGTCACAGGTGCGGACGTCATGGTGGCCCAGGGTGCCCGCTGTCCACTCAGGCCTCACTCTGGGGAAGAAGGGCCTCAGCGGCCACGTGGTGGGACAGGGTGCGGCTGCTGAAGAGCCCCCCAGAAGGGATCCTGACGTGGGGGGGCTCCAGACGGGAAGGAGTCAGTCCCAAACAGGCGGGGCGGGCAGCCTCGCTTTGCAAGAAACGGGAGTCCGGCCTCTCAGGTAACACATCTTAAGGGCCGTTCCCCGGGGTGACGTGCTGGCCTCAAGCACTTTTCGTTCGTCTGCTCATATGTCTGCAATGACGCGGCTGGTTGTCCCCCAGCGTTTGTTATGAAAAGTAGTTCACACAGAGCAAATGTGCAAGAGCCTGACACGCGCACTGAGCATCAGCAGCGGATACGGCCCGAGCGTGCATTCAGTTTTCTGAGCCATCTGGAAGGGAGCTGTGCCCGCTCGTCACCTGCCATCCTCTGGTACCGCCACGAGTCACTATCTTCTCTGCGAGGGTCGTCATCCTGACATCATCTACTTCTAAATCGATTCTACAATATCCAAAGAGTTTAGAAACGCAGCTTTTGATGAAGTGGCCAGATGGGGTGACGCCTGGGCACCCTTTCAGGCTTAGACGAAGAACGGTGGCAGACCGTCGTGCACCTGCCCTTTGGGGCCGTGTTGTCGACAGATCCAGTCCCAGGGGGCCACTGCCCCCAGACACACGCCCTCCTGCCCACGGCCGTGCTGGGTGAGGGGTGTGGCCCGGGTCAGGCTGGGGGGCGCACCTCTGGTCCTCCGCACCTGGCCCCACTTTCGGCCCCGCTGACCAGGGTCCTGCAGCTCTGGTCGTACTGCCGCCGAGGGCAGGGAGGACCCTGGCTCCAGAAGGCTGACTTTCCGGGTGTAAACCCCCAGAACCTCCTGACTCAAGAAAACATTTTAAGAGACTCGTTTTAATCGAGTTGTCGCTGAGGAAAATAGAGAAGTGACCAATCAGTCACTCTTCACACAGACTCCACGCTTCCCCAAGTGGTCATTAAAAACTTGGTCCACTTTATACAGTTGGAAGTTTTAATCTCTAATTTTCACGTTGTTAAAATCTAATTCAACAGAAGTATTAACATAAAGTACTTCAATTCATAATCTTTAGCACAATGTGGATAGACAGGCATGAATTGATTAGGGCTGGGGACAGATAATGAACGTCAGGGAGTGTGGCTAATGACTCGAGGAGGGCGGGAGAATTCCGCTGTCGGGTGAGTGGGGGCGACTCTATCTGACACCTAGAACGCAAACGGCTTCCTGTGACTGCAAAGAGTTTGAAGTGAAAATGCAATTTGTTCTTTTCCACTATACTTCCCTAATTTTGTCATAGTTTAGACACGTTTCCTTTCAAGAGCTGCAGATAAGGACGAATCTCATCAGAAAGCAGATTTCCAAAGAGCCCGATGCAACCCTCGCCTCCGATGCACGAAGAAGTCTGATTAGCGTACGCGCCCCTGTAACGCATCTCCCGCGCGTGCCCCTGACTCCCAGCCCCGTCTGAGGTGCTGTGGAGCCCGCGCGCTCGACCCTTTGGCTCGCGGAGTGGGTTTGCGCAGCATTTGGGGGCGCGCTTCCCCCTCCTCTCCCGGTCCCTGTGCAGACTGTCGCAGCGCAGGTGTACGGGGCTGTCACTGCTGTCCCTTCAAGGTCTCACTCTGTCACTTTCGTGTTTACTGAGCACGTTTCCCTTCCTGCTCCCGTCTCCCACGGCCACTGGGGCTGGACCTGTGGGGGACATCCCCACAGGGCGCCTGGCCGGTCCGGATGTGTCTCCCTATCACAGGACCGGAGCGGGACATCCCCACAGGGCGCCTGGCCGGTCCGGATGTGTCTCCCTATCACAGGACCGGAGGGGGACATCCCCACAGGGCGCCTGGCCGGTCCGGATGTGTCTCCCTGTCGCAAGACCGGAGGGGACATCCCCACAGGGCGCCTGACGGGTCCGGATGAGTGTCTCCCTGTCGCAAGACCGGAGGGGACATCCCCACAGGGCGCCTGGCCGGTCCGGATGTGTCTCCCTGTCGCAGTGTCTCCCTGTCGCATGACCGGAGGGGACATCCCCACAGGGCGCCTGGCCGGTCCGGATGTGTCTCCCTATCACAGGACCGGAGGGGACATCCCCACAGGGCGCCTGACGGGTCCGGATGAGTGGCTCCCTGTCGCAAGACCGGAGGGGACATCCCCACCGGGCGCCTGACGGGTCCGGATGAGTGTCTCCCTGTCGCAAGACCGGCGGCGGTGACCGTCCCACCCGGCTTGTCTGCTCCCGCAGGCTGGTGGCAGCCACTGTGCACGGAGCATGCGGCCTGCTCGAGTGGTTGCTGTCGGTGCCGGGTTTTCACTCCGCTCTGCTGACCGGGGGCATCCCAGGTAAACTGCGGACACAGGCACACTGTCCCTCTGGCCCGTGTCCCCATCCCTTGCATTCAGAACATGGCCTGTGTGTCTCAGGTCACTCTGAGCTACTCGTCGTCCAGTGTTCCTTGTGGCTACTGCAAAGCCCTGGGGTTTGATGCGCCCGACCAGGTAGGTGACAGTAGCTTAGTGACTACTGGGCGGAGCTGTTTTGGGGCCCCCGGTGCTGAGTCCCTCGTGCAAGTCAGCTCCACGAGCCGAGCGAATAAGATCGTTGTGGCTTTGGAACAATCTCTTTTATGCCATTTATTTATTTTTTTGTTTATTTTTTTCTTTATGCCATTTACTTGTTTCATTTCACATGATTAATGCGAAAATCCCCAAATGCTAGGCTAGCAGTGGTTTGCAATCCCTCCGGGATCTACCCATTTATGCGTTAATGATAAGAAGCCAGTGCTCACGTGGGTTCATGACGGTTTTCATTAACCACAGAGGGCTGAATAAATCTGACTTAGTTCGACCCATCCAGTGAGCTGTGATCGCAAAATTATAGTTCAGAAAAAATTATTCCATGTAATAAAACTTTCGATATTCAGAGCTCAGAGTTTTGGTTTAACAAGCCATTTAATTTAATCTTCACTTTCTAAAAGTGCCATAACCAGTAACCCTGCACCTGCTCTTAAAATCAGGATGAGAATCAGGTTACCTGACCTTTTAGAAATTACTAGGGAAGTATCTAGACCCGACCACTGCAATACTAGCTCCGTGTACAAAGCATGCAGAAGAGACACTTCAGCGTCTTGTTATCTTTGCCCAGAAGAGGTCAAGACGGGGGTGGGGGGGGGGAGACTTAAGAAATTAAGACAATGACAAGGAGCATCCAGTGGGTCTGTTCTCTGTTCTTTGTGTCCAGGGCTTAGAGCAACAGCTACTCTTGGTCATTAAATAGCAGTGGAGAAATAAACCAAGCGAAATTGAAACAAAGTAGCTGATGTCTACAAAGTGCAGTGCACAGCGCGCGCTCGCCCAGCCGGGCCACCTGAGGGCCCCCTGGGATTCAGCAGGTGCGAGCAGAAGTGCAGTGCACAGCGCGCGCTCGCCCAGCCGGGGCTACCTGAGGGCCCCCTGGGATTCAGCAGGTGCGAGCAGATCAGGATCAGCCTCCTGCACGGACTGTCACCTCTTCCACCCACCCACCCTTCTTGCAGAGCTCGGCGTTGGGCGCTGTGCCAGGCACAGTCCAGGCCGTGCTGGCAGATGATAGGCTACCAAATACAGTCACCGTGCTCAGCGAGCCTATGATCTCAAATGACAGCACAGGGCAGAGCTTTGGGAAAACACGGGTTGTCCTGACCTTTTGAGAAATGCGTGTCCCCAAGGGCAGAGTCAGGGACTCTGAGCAGTCGGTGGCCCAGCCTCTGTCACAGGCAGGTGGAAAGGCCCACAAGTGAATAAAGGTCTCTCGGAGTCGGGACATGAGGGGCTTGTGCTGCCGGTCGTGGCGGTGGCCGTCGCGTGGGCCCCGAGGCTCCTTTCTCGTCACCCTCCTCTGCCCGGCCCGCTCGCCTGATCAGACTAGTCCTGTCAGCCCAGCACGGCGCCACGTCCACCGTCACCGTGAAGCCTCCTCAGGCCTCTCCCCGGAGGGCGTCGGCCACGCCTCTGAGCTCTGAGCGCTCCCACACACTCATGCTGAGTGGCTCTGCCCGGCTTCGTCTCGTCCCAGGCCCCCATGGCCGGTCAGCCTCCACGCCATGTCCCGCTCACTCCTGTGCCCACCTGCCGTCTTGGGGATAGTGGCCGCACTGTCACAGCTGTGGGAGGTCACACAGAGGAGACCCCACAAGTGCGAGCGAGGACACTTTCAAACAGCTTGTTTAGGGAGATATGGCTGCGGGTGGCAGGAACTCATCCCCATCTCCAGACGCGTGACAATGACAGGCAGCTGTGATTTAGGCAGTGACGGGTTCCCACTGGATGTGGGTCGCCGCGCACCCTCCAGCCCAGCTGCCCCTCACGGCACTGCTCTCAGAAATTTCTGGAACGGCCCCCAGCAATGAGAAAGCTGTGACTCACGTGACGACAGCTCAGCCTTCAGAGGTTGGGCCTTTCGTGCTGAGGGAGGGAGTCTGTGCCCTTCCGGCTGTCACCGTTTTCGACAGCTGAGGCGGCACGGCCCACGTGTGTGTTTCTCGGCTCCAGGATTCTGACTGGACCTTGGCGACCGCGGACTGGCCAGGGGCCGGACGGCCACTCCAGCTGTGACCCAGCGCCCTGCTCGTGCGGGCTGGGGAGGACGCCGCCTCTCCGGGCACGGGCTAGTTACGGTGGTGGCCATGGCCCCTGCGTGTTGCGGGGCACAGGTGCCCAGCAGAGGATGCGGCGCACGGTCGGGGTCAGCCCGTGCCGGCAGAGGTTTCTTTTAGAAAAGTACCTTTTAAAACTACAGTCCTTAAGGGAGGGTAATGACTCAAGGACGCGCTCAACGTGGGAGTCGCGATGAGCACGCGTGTCGCTGTCACCTCGCTCACGGCAGCGGCGGGTCCCCCCTGCCGCCCATGCGTGTCTCGCACGTGTCGTTAGTGGTGCGAATTCAGGAAGCTCCGTGGGCACACTGTGGGCAAAGCTCGACAAACGCCACCTCCCGCAGAACGTCCTTGCTGCCCGCCTCTGCCTGGTGGCCACGGCACGTGGCGAGTGTGCCCCGGCGGGCGCCCTCGGGCTGCGTGCCGGCCGACGCGGTAGCGGACGCGCACGCGGAGCGGACCCTTGCCCTCTACGTCCTGTCTGCTCGGGCCAGCTCGCTTGTGTTTCATCTCTGCGGTAAAGATGACGGATCCTCGTACGAGGCAAAGCGTTCTGCCAGGCTGAAGCAGGCGGTGGCGGGGACGCTGCGGGTCACGGTGACCATTCAGCAGTGTCATAGCCCTGAGCAGACCGCAAGACGGGCACTCGGCCCGGCGGGCACTGTCACCCGACAGCCCCCCTGCACATGCTCTGCGTGTGACAAGGGCTCAGGTGAGAACATGCGGGACCGGATGACAAGGGACCCTCTGCGAGGACGGAATCAGGGACTTGAGGGCAAAACCTCCGCCTCTTCCACAGGTCAACGCCCCAGTTCTGAGAACTGGGGGTCAGCACACCGATTACTCCCCCCGACTCTCAGCCTGCAGGCCCCGTGCTGAGTGACAGTCCACGCACTCCGCTCCCCGAAACGCCTCCTGCGTGTGGGACCATCAGGCCGTCTGTCACGGAACCGCAAGGTCAGGGCCAGGTCCCCAGGACGGCCGCTGTCCCCTGCACTGGAATTCAGTGACCTACCCAGCGTGCCCAGGGCGTTGCGGGAAGGGAAACGCAGAGTGAGCGTTTGTTGGCCGGGCGCTGGGAGGCTGGTGTGGCCGGGCTTCGTGAGGACAGCGTGCGTTCTGGACGTGTTGCGGTCACCCTCCTGCCATCCCGAGTCACACACAGACACGGCCGGTCACACGAGGCAGCTGGCGAAGGCGCTGCTCGGTGTCTGCAGGTGGGCGGAGGCGGCGGGGATGAGGGTGGGTACCTGTCCCTCTGCACACAGGGACGACACCCCTGAGACGTGAAGGGCTCGGGCCAGGGCCACACAGGTGCCCATGTGGCCCGGCGCCACCCAGCTGACCGGGAGAACCGTGTACTCCCCTGTGACGCCCCCCTGGCAAAGAGCCAAAGCAAGCGCCCACAGCCTCGGGGCCGCGCCGGTTCTGGGGAGCGGTCCAGACGCCCAAACCACCTGCCGCCAGGTGCAGGGAGCCGGTGCCTGGAGCCCGAGGCCGGGCACGGTGCTGGCGCCACGGGGCCCAGGCCCCTCCGG